GTCAGGGAGGTGCCAGTCTCATCCTCTTGTTCCTCCACACGGTTCTGGCGAGCTAAGAAAATGTTTATCTCCCTGAGCTTGGCCTTCATATTCCATCACAATCACAGTCACATGATGACTTGCTTAACAACCGCACTGCTTAGCAATGAAGTTGCCAGTCCCAATTGCGGTCATTAGGCAAGGACTACCTGTAGTCAGATAAAAGAAACCTGAGTCCAGAGCAGAAATGTAATTTGAGAAAGCATCTCACACAAGACATCAACAACAACAAGGACTGACATCATATGACATTATTCTGAAGATGCTTACTAGGGGCAGCAGTGTTTCTGTCCTCAGTTTAGTGGAAAATCATGGGTTGGAGGTAAAAGCGGGAGAAGACCAAGGTCCAGGAAAGTTTTATCCATAGTGCAGCTTCCAAATCCTGAAGTCCTCCCCAACTTTGCAATGAAGGGACAACATGGGAAGGGATGCTCACACTTAGACACCCCCAGAAGTCTCCGCTCACCTATAACGCTGCAGAGAAGGCGCAGGCTGGTGGTATCACCTTCCCCGCTGTCTCGGGGATTCTCTCTCCAGGAGGGGGGCAAGGGGATGCGTAACCCAATGGGTCGGTGAAACTTCCTGCGGCGTGGCTCCACCGTCACAATCGGGCTGAAGGTTGCCTGGTTGCCCAGCAGTTTTGTCACCAGCTCGTCGGGCACTGGCTGAGCCTGCAGAAGAAAGAGCAACACCCAGAAAGGTCCTGAGAGAGACCGCTTTTGGCATCGAGGGCAATGCAGAGAGCAGTGGGCAGACATTGCAAGGTGGCTGCAGAACTGGCAGGATTCAGACAGAAACCCTCAGGCTTGAAGAATGAGCAGAAAATACAACCAGGGCTGTAAGTAATTGATTCAATGTACACAATGTCTGTATGATGGACTGGGTGTTGTTTTCCTAGGCTCACCAGCCTTGTACACACAAACGCCTGAACAAATACGTGTATACACGGAGACAAAGGATCCTGAACTTTCATCAATATGGCAACACCAACATCGCATCATCATCATCATCATCATCATCATCATCATCATCAATAATACATTCTGATAAAATCAAATAAATTCAAATTCAGATAATTTCAAATAAATTCAGATAAATTCAAATTCAGGTAAGAAAAGAAATTCAGATAAATTCAATAAACAATGCATTCAAATAAATAAAAAAATTAAAATAAATAAATTGCACCACACACATACAAAAGGCTCAGAGCTTGCATCATCTCAGCCCGATGGAGCTTTCATCACTTCCATGCACGCACGCACACCTGGACACCTTTACAAACACGGTATGCATCACTAACAGCACACTTAACCAAGTCAGGTATAAACCTAACGGTTTCATTCACAAAATATGCAGAGCTTGATCAGCTTGAACCTTGATCGGGATTTGGGGTGGGGGTGGGGGTTGGCTTAGCATGTTATAAATCCATCCCATTTAGTAAACGTAGGGTTCAAAAATATTGCTCAAACCCAGAAAATGAATCAGTTCAGTAACTGAGTCAAGGGGGTTTCATGAAAGCCGCCACAAGATCCAACTCTGGCCTTGCCGTCATTTGGTACCTGCAGAGCTAGCTTGACCTTCTTGGTGACTGCTGTTTCTGGAAACGTGGCTTGGACCATGGGCACCAAGGAGCTTTGGAGACAGCCACCTTCTGGGCCAATCAACTCGCAGTCCTGGCACACCCGGGACATGACCACAAAGTACAGGGGGAAGTCGGTCGTGATGATCCGGCAAATCCTCTTCTTCTCCAATTCTTCCAGACTTTCCAATTCTGTAAAGATTAACTGAAGAGTTTTAGAATCTGCAGATCACAAGAGAACCAGGGTCTAGTGCACTGTAAGAAAGAGATCAGGACAGCAATAAAAATAGTAGCAACAACGTAGTAATATGATCAACTAAAGGCTCAGAACATCGCACTCTACGGAGTCAAAGGCTGACTCAGTAGAAAGCCACTTCATATGTTCAAGGTTTCTTCTGACTTCAGGTTCTTGCAATGCAAAAGCATTTTCTTTGCAGAAGAATGACCAGTAAACTGAACCTAAACTGGACTAAATGCAAAAACCCAAAGTGTCGTAACACCCTAAACCACTGCAGCAAAGGATGCAGATTTCAGCAAAGACAGTCCTAGGCTTCATTAAAGTGGCAAGAAGCGGACAAGCTTCAGCAAAATGTTAAGTTCTCTTCGAATAAAATGCTTCAACAATGCAGCAGAAATCACCAAGAGGAGAAAAGAATGGCCCTTTCAAGGCAAAAAGTCCCACTTCATAAAAATGCAAAAAAAAACAAACCCCAGAAAAAAATAAGAAAAAATAAAAGCTGCTAGAAAGGTCCCATGCTGTATTCCTCCCAGTTTCATGTCCAACAGCCTGCAATTTTTGGTTAGCCAGAAACTACTGAACAATCCAAAGTCTTCCCACCTCCAAGTTTGCAGCAGGTTTGGAATTGCCACATAAACTTCACAGACAATTCTTCCCACCTTCTAAACTCCGTTGGAGAAAGGCTGTGTAATTCCCTAAAGCAGCAATTCTCAATCTTGGCAACCTGAAGACGTGTGGACTTCAATTTTCTGGCTGGGGAATTCTGGGAGTTGAAGTCCACACGTCTTCAAGTTGCCGAGGCTGAGAAACCCCAGCCGTGAGACAGATTCAGAAGAGGTTGGGGTTCAGGCATGCAGTTGTGACAGTCCCGTCACTTTCTCACAGCTCCTCAGTCTTTGAATCTCATCTGGGTCTCTACCCAAGCTGATCTCTTCCAGGTCGATGACCCTACCTTCATCCATCCCATTGAGGACCTGGTCCAAGTAACTTTCGGCGTAGTGGCTGCGGTGCTCCTTCCACACAGACCCATTCTCACTGCGCAGGACCACCAACTCCCGGTCACCACGGCCATGTGAGGCAAAATGAGGGATTTCCACAATCACAGGGCTACGGGAGAGTTGAGTGTAAGAAGCCAATGCAGATGGCCATTGTGTTCCACCAACAGTTGAAAACTAAGACTCTCCCACTGCCAAGACTGTCCAGAGTCTGAGGCATTGGGACAACATCTGCATCCTGTCATCTACAAGGAATGCTTCCCCACTAAAGCCTCCACTTCACCAATTTTCAATTCCAATGGCCCATGTCTTAGAAATGTTTAGTTTTGTCTGAAGGAGAATTGAAATCCATGGTCAGATTTCCAGATCAACAGCCAGACTGACTGCAGAGTCAGTCATAGAAGTAAGTCCATGCTGGCTCAAAGTTTTGGAAGCTATTATTCAACACATCTGGAGTGCACCAGTCTGAAGAAGGCTGTATCTTTACAGTAAAAGCCCTCCTGTTTGTATTAGGAAATATAGTAGAAAACCCAGTGACACCTTTATGCAGGAAGTCTTACACTGAGACAATTCACAGAACACCTACAACCAAACTGTGAAATTATCTTGAGAGAACCCAGCCAGTTCTGATGTAAACCACAAACCAAAGGTAAGCAAACTGTGGTTAGTGCAAAATGTGAAGCTAGCCTATGTCTGAGATCTTTCTAGACCAGAGAACCAACAGCCCTCTTTCAATATCTTTTTAATACAGCAGTCAGAAAGAGAGGACTGTAACGTCTGTGTGAAATCTGTTCTCTGAAACCTATGTATGGGAAAGAGGGAGGGAGGGGTCTCCTTCATCACTGGCATCTAAGAAACACATCAGTGCAGGAGTCTCATATGTGACGACAACAATGTGGCCCAGGAAGTGGGACATCTGCACGGAGGCCTTGACCAACTGGAAGGGAAGCTTTCACCTGAGGAACTGTGCTCCAGCAGGGCCCAGAGCAATAATTCTGCTGGCCAGTCCTTCTTCCTCTGCCAGAGGGGGTGGAGCTGGCAACTTCTGGGGCTTGACCAGGCGGCAGGTGATGCGAGTTGGTGCTGCACACGTCCTGGGTGGAATGATGACGCGAAGGCCATTGTGCCTGCTGCCCCGCATGGACCCGCCACGGGCATCCACCATGAAACTTACAAGGAACCTGGGAAGGGGGAAGGAGCCAGATATAGTCATAAAAAATGTCAGCCCTTCAAGAGAGCCTTCAAGAAACAGGCATGGCAGGGATTCCAGGAATTTTCTTGAGCACCATAGGGTAAAATTACAGCATCTTGAAAGCCTGCCCAAGAGATAAACCCCATCCTCCTGCCACTGAAAAGAGATAATCGAGGATGGAAACAAACAGCACAGAACACATCCTCCCTGGCAGCCAACAGCCAGATGAGCAGGAGACAGCACCAGATAAATGTTAATCAAGGAACCGGCAAGGAAGGAAATATGCCTGACCAGGACAGGCTGCTATATGTAAGCAACCAGCAACCTCCACTCTCCTATGGCTGATGATGTTACCTAGGCTGGTAACCAAACATCTGCAGGAAAACCATCAAGCTCAGAGAACACCAAGGACCCAACAGTTTCTCTCTGCTCATCTTATACTAAATAAAATCATGGGGATCATTTTGAGTTTTTTCCTCATGCTTCCTTCTTTCTTTGGACTGTGTAATTTCTTGTTGAAGTCCCTCCTTCTTTAACAGCTCATTCATACCTTCCTCAAAGTCAGCTCTAAATTCCTTTACTCACTCACTCACCCACTCACTCACTTTCCATCCATCCATCCATCCATCCATCCGCCCGCCCACCCACTCATCCATCCATCCATCCCCTCTCTCTCTCTCTCTCAGTGGTGCAGGCAGTTATAGGCATGCCTCAGGATGCCCATGTAACACCCCTGGTTCATGACCTGCACTGGTTCCCAGTTTGCTTCCAGGTGCGATCCAAGGTGCTGGTCATTACCTATAAAGCCATACATGGCATAGAGCCTGGTGATTGAGGAACCGCCTGTCTCCCATAGCACCTGCCCAGCTGATCCAATCTTACAGAGCTGGCGTGCTCTGGATTCCTTCGATTAAACAATGCCATCTCTTGGGACCCTGGAAACATGCCTTCTCTGTCATGCTACCTGCCCACTGGAATGAAGTTCTCCCCGAGATCTGGTTGGCCCCGATCCTTTTGGTGTTTCGAAAGGCCTTGAAGACCTGGCTCTTTGCCCAGTTCTTCAGCGAGTATAATTGAAGCCCCCTTTTAAGTTGTCTTTTTTCGCTCCTGTCCTATTTGTCATCTTTTATTCCTCTGTCCTTATTTATTATTGTACTGTTTTATTCTTTTTTACTGTTTTTACTTGTGAACTGCCCAAAGTAATTGGAATCAGGCAGTATACAAATGTAATAAAGCATCTATCTACCAATCATCTATCTATATCTATCTATATCTATCTATTTATCTATTTATCTATTTGTCTATCTGTCTATCTGTCTACAGTATATTCATCTACTTACCTACCTACCTACCTACCATCTATAATCTATCTGTCAGCCCTTCCAGGTAAGTGAGAAATGCTACTTTATTGTTGCAGGGTATAGTAACACCAACTTGAAAGCCTGTCTAAGTTTCTTTCTGTCCCATTTTACACTAAACAAAATCAGGGTGGGGTTATTTTGAGTTTCTTATACCTCTCTCCTTCTCAGGAACAATTAATTTTTTCTCTACATTTCCCCTTAATGACTCACTTCCCCAAGGCCAACTCTATATTCCTTTAGAAAAGTATAGATCAGGTGGGATGGGGAGAGCAACTTCCAAAGGGCCCCACAATTCATCATCCTGATCAGCTGGAAGGCCACAAAAGGCCATTTGCTGACCCAGTGGTATCATCAAAAGTGGTGCTGCCAATTTTTGGGACAAAGTTGCAAATGGAAATGGAAGGTCTCCAGAAGACAATCTGCTTCCAGCTTCACCCTGAATTCCCCCATCTAGAAAAACAAGCAAACATACCACCAAAAGACTCATCAAAAGACTACAGGCAATGATCTTGTCATGATTACATGAGAACCTTCCTACAACTTCATAAGGGGTTGTGCTCCTATGGGGAATTGGGATGAGGTGGAAGAGATGACTCACCCTGTGTGGACAGGGCTGGCTACTGGACTGATGTTGTCAGAGGTCTCTGTGGCAGGACTGCTTGGGATGAGGGACTCTTCATCAAACTCCTTGGAAGGCTAGATGAGACAGAAATGGAGCTCTTGTTAAATGTAGGTCTAGGCCCTGCCAAGCCATGCCAGGTTCTCAATGGCCTTGACCCCCTTCCCTCAGATGCCACTTGCCACTACAAACACTCTTTATCTTAACTCCACTTCATGCCAACTCTTCATATTGTCATCCTTCAATCCAGAGGTTCTGGACACAACTCTGCCAAATGGGTGCTCCCATCCCACAGGATCATTTTCCCTTATTCTCAGAACTAGAGTGGCTCACTGAAGGTTCTTAGAGGGGAGGGAGCAAAAACATTCTTAAACCAAGTTTCACCACATTAGGTTGCTGGGGTGGGGAAAAAAATTGGAATGGGGTACGCTAAGCATGCCATTCAAGTTTAGTCTAACAGGTCATGGTCAACAAGGCTCCTGTGGAGTGCCTTCAGCTCCTGCCCACAACTTAGCCTCGATGGGCTGGCACCCACCTGCTCTGGCTCCTCAGGCCGGATGAGGACCGTCTCAGGCGTGACACAAGGGATTCGTGGGATAGCTGGTGATTCCTCCCTTCTGTGTTGCGCAAAAAAAAAAGGGAGAAGGGTGTTGGGAAAACAGGGTGCAGTCTGGCCTTCATTGAGAATTCTACCTCCAAGGGCTTAGCAACATGCCTGACTTTGGCCACAAGAGCTCAGTATGGTCTTGTGTTGCTCAACCAACATGGATCCATCTATGTATACATGTGCACAGAGCTATCCACAGGGGGAGCATGGGGTGCAACTGACAAAACAGGCACTGCAACTTCACAATGCACTCTCTGCCCCTTACATACAACACTGTATTGCAAAGTTATATTACAGGTAGTCCTCACTATCCAACCACAATAGGGACCAGAATTTTGGTTGCTAAGTGATTTGGTCATTAAGTGAATTGGAGCTAATTTTAGAACCTTTTTTACGACAGTCGTTAAGCAAATCACTGCAGTCATTAAGTGAGTCACGTGGCTGTTAAGCGAATCACATGGTCTTTAGGCAAATCCAGCTTCCCCAATGGATGCTTTTTGCCAGAATTCGCTTAACGACTATGTGATTTGCTTAACAACCACACGACTCACTTAACCATGTGACTCGCTTAACAACCGTTGTAAAAAAGGTCGCAAATTGTGATCACGTGATCACAGGGGTCATAAAGTACTTTTCCCAAGGCTGTCATAACTCCGAATCATCATTAAACGAACAGTCATTAAACAAGGACTATCTGTACATATAACATTGCATTGCAACATTGCAATGCAAGTATGAGAGTGCAGAGTATGCATAATGATATCACAATGCATTTCTTGGCGTTTTGGCATCCCTGTGGTTAAGAACAGATGTCTATATGGGCGTAGGAAACAGAGATGATGGTACTTTTGATATATGACCCATGAATATTCCAGGAAGATGCTGGATCATCTCTGGTTTGCTTTAGAAGAACTTGGTCTGGAGAATTTGTGCTCTATGATGGTGAAAGGCTGCAAATTGGACAAAAAGCACCCTCTCCATATCTTACGTGTGATCCAATTTGGGGACAAATTCCACAATTTCTCTCTCATCTTCCTGATATTGAAGTTCCCGCTTCTGCATCTTGGCACCTGGCAGTTCCTCTCCTACAAAAGAGACAGTGATGAAAATGTGGTGCACTCAGAGCTGAAACAAAGAAAAGAAAAGAAAAGAAAAGAAAAGAAAAGAAAAGAAAAGAAAAGAAAAGAAA